GGATGCCCGCCTTCACTGTCTCTGCTGCGGCCGCTGCAGCCGCCGGGCTGGCGCTTTGCTACAGCAAGGGCCACGTCTCCAAAGGTGACCGCAGAATGTCTTTCCTGTCTTCCTCCTGCCGCTCCGCAAGCCGCTAGTCCTCAGTGAGGCTGCATAGGACTGGCCGTTCCTCTTTGGGTCTGTGGGTGACTGTAAAGGGGGGGGAACCTCCTTTGCTTCCAAACCTGAAAGAGATTTCAGATGGCTTTCTTTGGCCTTTGGGGGGGCTGGGTCTGTGGGTGACTGTAAAGGGGGGGGGAACCTGCTTTGCTTCCAAACCTGAAAGAGATTTCTGATGGCTTTCTTTGGCCTTTGGGGGGCCATTACAGTTTTGGAGCAAAAGTGTGTAGGAGAAGTTGGCAACCCAAGAACTGGAGGGTCAGCCGATCAGTGGCATAGAGGTCAGGGATACTGAACCCTTGGGTCACCCAGGTGTTCTTGGGCTGCAACTCCCAGAAACCCAGGCCAGCACAGCTGGCGACGAAGGCTTCTGGGAGCTGCAGTCCAAAAATACCCGGGTGACCCAGGATTGAGACCCCCCCCCCCGTTCTCTATGCTTAAGGGGCTTTTGATCTTAGGAACCCAGAAAGCAGCCCTACCACAAGCCCAGGGTTTGGGCTGCATGTAAAGCGGGTATTTGGTCCGTAAGCGCCTGCCTTTCTTGACAAGCCAGAACAGTCGTGATCGGCTTGAGGAGGGATTGGAAAGGGAGGATCCCAGGGTCACAGTTTCCCAAACTCCTGATGTAGGTGCAGAGTCTTTTCCCGGGGTTGAAACGGGAGGGGCTTTTCCTGTTAACAAGCCATCTTTTTCTCAGGAGCTGTGCAACGAGTGTGACCAGTTTCATCTTCTTCCCGGCATCCAGGCCACTTTTTTGCCCAGCCGCCGTGAGATGCTGTAACGTTTCCTCAGCTGTTGGGGGAAGATGCTGCTTCTCTAACATGTCCGCTGCCGCTTCTTCTTTTTGTACATCGTGGGTTGGCCTCCCCTCGGCTGTGGCAGGCAGAGGGTAGTGGATGGATCCGACTGGGTGGCCCCAATCCTTTCTGGACCTGGTCTTGTGGCTGACTGGACCACACGGCTCTATGCTATTCAAGCCATGTGAGAATCACAAGCTCGTCTCCGTTGGCTCTCCTTCGCTGCTGACTCACCCTTGTTCTCAGTGGCAGAGTTGAGGAGGTTACTGTTTTAGATTACAAGTCCCCAAATCCCCCAGCCTACATTGCCCCAGGCCCCAGAATTGGAGTCCAGAACTCCAAATTTTCTAAGATTTGCCAAGTGACACCTCTGGCTGTCTCGAGGACGCTTTGCCTTGGGATGGTTCTTGCTACACTTCCCTTTCTATGCATCCAAGGGTGTGGGCCTGCCATCCTCCCCCATTCCTGGGTTGTGCCCAGCGGTAGGTTTTAAGTGAAGGCTTTCCCTCCTTGCCTGAGAATCTTTCCAGGGGACTGCTGGAGGTTCTTCCATAAAGGCCTATCCCATTTTCTTCAGCCTCTCCCTGGGCAAGGCAGGGGCTTCTGATGCTGCTCCAGTGCTCCTTCGACCTGGGTCCCAGCTTGTGAATGAGCCTCCTCCAGTCCTCCTGCCTCCTTCCTCAGAGGGAGCAGCAGGCGTTGTGGGGCTGCATTTACGCCACGGTGGCCCTGGCACCGAGCCCTCGTTTCAGGTCCACTGTTGCCCTTTCCTTGATAGCCTTGTGCGCTCTTCCAGAGAGCCCCAGGGATCCCACCTCACCGACTCCCAGGGTGTTGCCTCGTTCATGGAGACTGTTAATCAGGCTGGGTCTTTACAAGTGGTACCTGGTCAGAAGGGTTCCTTAATGAATTAATCTAGTATTTATTCCGGAACCTGGTGAAGCTCTGTTTGCATGTTCTAAAACTTCCAAAGGGTGACTTTGTGAATATCGCAAGCATGAATTATTTACGGATAATGAAATCATCCTTGCTGCTTGTTATACCATTAAAGCCATCTTTTCAGGTTTTCCTTTTGCTTCAGGTTAGGAAACGTCCACGGTTGCAACACAAGAGCCAAACTAGGTAGGAAAATCACTAAGTTCAAGGCCCAGCCCCTTCATGGGAGGTGGTGGTTTAAAGACGACATCTGTATCTCCTGCTGTGGCACACGGCCCACTCTCTCTGCCTCTGGTTCTCTTTGCTGGCGGGTAGAAAAGGCAAGCCAGTCTGGTGAGGTGGGTGCGAAAGACCCCCCAACTCTGCTGCTTTAAAGGCCTTGTGAAGCTTTGGCCAGCAAGGAGGCTAGAGTGGGTGTGAAATGTATTCTGAAAAGAAAATGACAAATTCTGCAAGAATAGCAACAGCAAAAGCAGTCATTCTTTTTGGCAATGTAGTTGTGGCTATGTCTGAGAGGCGATCCTTGAGCCTTTGGCGTGAATCCTCTCTCTCAAAATGGCACTCTGGAGAGGACCTGGAGGGCTTCGCTTTGAAAGGTGGAGAGGTGGTGGGTGAGTTTGGTACCTGGGATGGACAGCGAAGGTCTGTGTCTTTTCCACAGAAAGCTGTGTGAGGGGAGGATGAGGCCAGGAGTGTCTGGAGAGCAGCCATGTAATTAGGGATCTGCCCTTAATAAATAGATCCATGTTCATTTTTTATTTGCTATCTTATGTATGGTGTTTCTAAGGCGCTTTTTGAATCCCAGAGCAGCGTTGATGTGAAAATAATGTTATGTTGTTGTCGCACAAGGCACAAGAACGACTGCCAGAAAAGAGGGGAGGTTTCTTTTCTGCGCAGACTTTCCACGTGAACCAGAACACGAGAAACATGGGATTCTGGCTCACACGGAGAGTGCAGAGGGTTAGCAAGCTGTTCCTCCTCAGACTGCGGCTCTCAGCTGTTGACAGTGATGAGGGAGCAGGGGTGAAGCCAGCGCCCTCTTCTCTCCATGCAGGATGTCCATAGACTCTCGGGACACCTGAATACGACTTTCCTTGGCCTTATGAACTCTTCATGCTTCACCTTTCTGGTTCAGCAAAACAGCAACCCACAACTTCTTCTCTGTGTCTTTTCCAGAAGAGGCTCTGCTGGAAGCTGCTCGGGTCAACAATGTTTCTGAAGTGGACAGGTGAGCACCCCTTCTGCTGCTTAGTCAGGGTCCTGCATTAAGCCTGTAGGCTGTGTGATGATGCCTGTGGGATCGCGGTTCTCGGGAGGGTGGTGGCCTGTTTGTCCAATTGTGGGGTCTGACTGAACAGCTGAGGTCCTCAGAAAGGTATACGTGTGTGTGTGTGTGTGTCAGAAGACCTGTGTTTGCCCTTGTGTGTACACAGATCACCTCTCTGACTGAACAGCTGAGGTCCTCAGAAAGCTATACATGGGGGTGTGTGTGTGTGTGTGTCGGAAGACCTGTGTTTGCCCTCGTGTATACACAGATCACCTCTTCCCCCTAAACACAGCCGCGGCCATAACATTATAGACGTTGTGGTTTAGGGAACAAGAGGGTTCAAGATAGAGGCTCTGAAGGGAGCGTGAGGGCAAGCTGTAAACAACAAGCAGATTGCAGGCTTGCTTCTTTTTTTCCTCCTGGGGTTCAGGTGTTGTCCTTGCTTGAACCTGAGCCTGCTGTGCCCTGCTCTGGGGTGAGCGTGAGGCCATTTCCCCTCTAGAATCAGATTCCTCCATCCCTCTGGCCACTGGTGCCGGCCCACGAGATGTCACATGGGTTGAACGCCATCCGAAGGCAGTAGTGTTTCCCCCCCACCTGCCCTCCATGCTGAGAAGCAGGGCGACCAGGTGTGTAAGTAAGCTTGCCTGCAGAGCCACATTTTGAGAGGCGTGGGGCTGCCATCCTGGCTTCAGCCACCCTGCAGGTCCTCCCATGTGCTCACGGGGCCTCTTTCTCCAACTCCTTAAGGTCTGAAAGGTTGGCCTTGTTCCTAGAGATGTGTGCAGCTGTGCTCCAGTGGGTCACTTGCAGCGTTCCCTGTGATTCCTGGATCTGTGGGGCCTGCACAAACACACTGCTCTGTCTGCCTGAGAGGTGTCTGGCAGAGCAAGAAGGGTGGATCTCTCAAGCGCTGCGAAGCACAGGCCCTTGCTTTTGGGTTGTCTGGCGTGTTGCCTAAGACAGTGTCCTCTTTTCTGAGCTGGGCCCCTGAGGCAGCAGCTGTCTTTGCGCCTCATGACGGTGCAGTCCAGGTCTGGCTTCCATCACGGTTACTGCAGGCAGGGAGCCGGCAGGGATTGGCCCTGTTTCCAGGAAGTGGCATGGCTTTTGAGTGAGCCTGGGCCTGTTGGCCTCCTTCTCCTCCTTTGCTTTCCCAACCCATGCTTCTGAAGGAGGGAGGCCACATCTGTGTTGTTGTTGTTGTTGTTGTTGTTATGGGCCATCACGTTGCCCTCTACTTAGGGGCCCCCTATGTCTGTAGCAGTGATTAGAAACTTTACCCTGGTTAGCGCAGTGCTCTGTTTGGCAGAGAGGCAAGGCATACATCGCACTAGTAAGGGAGGGTTATTAGGGCTAACTCTAACCGATTATCCTCGTCAAGCGAGGCACCACTGTAGGCTGTATTAAAGTCTACAATTCCATGACGTGCTGTGTATGTTCAAGGCAAATTTTTAATTTTATTTTTTGCTGCATCTCTCTCTCTCTCTCTCTCTCTATCTGTGTGTGTGTGTGTGAGTGAGTGTGAGAGTGAAACTGATCCAGGCTTATGGTTATTCTGACTTCTGTTGCATGTGAATGCTCCCATTCATTCTGCTAGATTGCAAGATACTTATATTTGCCAGCATACTGCACCTTTTTGTTTTATATCTTCAAATGCGTTTCTTACTTTTACTCATTACCACAAACTTAGTTTCTTTCTGTTTATTTGCACCTTTGCTGACTTCGTAGTGTAACTTTTTCAGATCATCTAAAAATTGACAGCACTATATTATCTGTATATGGAGTATCATTTGTAAGCGCCATTCACAGTGGCATCGTTTGAATTTGCAAGTGCTTCTCTAAGGATGGTATTAGCATGCAAGTTGAAAAGCAGTGGTAAGAGAATGCATCCTTGTTGTAGTCTTTTTTTGGGGGGGGGTTATCTCATATATTCTACATCAGCTGAGCTTCACCTTTTACTGCAGCTTTTTGTTGTCAGTACAGGTTACCAGTTACAGTGGTGCCTCACTTAACGATGTTAATTGGTTCCATTTAAAAATCGTTATGTGAAAACATCATTAAGTGAAACACCATTTCCTATAGGAATGCATTGAAAACCGGTTAATTCGTTCCAATTGGAACGGATTGCCGTCCTTAAGTGAAAATCGGCATAGGAAACATCGTTGAGTGAAACGCGGTTCCCCAATTGAAATGCATTGAAGCCGACTCAGTGCATTTGAATCGGTTTGCGAAGTCCCTTTTCGCTCCTGTAAAAGTGTCTTGAACTGTTTGAAACCTGTTTTAAATGCTTGCAATCGCTAGCCCACCTCCTGAAACCTATGCAAACTTAATTTGGTGCTGTTCTGAGTCTTCGTTAATTTTTGGTGAATTTTTTTATTCTCCATTGAAAGCCATTGGATGGACCAAACAGTTTAACACACTTTTACAGGAGTGAAAACAGACATCGTTGAGTGAAAATCCCCCATAGAGAACATCGTTAAACGATGCGGAAAATTCCTAAAAGAAACCCATCGGTAAGCGAATTCTTCGTTAAGCGAGGCACCACTGTATCTCTTTTTAAAAAATATTTTGTTATCAGCTTGCTTTGTGTTGCCTTTTGTCAAAGATGTTTCCATGAGAGATGCTTTTCCCTTCCCTCCTCCTCCTCCGGCAGCCGCCCACTCAACGGCTGCACAGGCAGAATCCCCGTCCTGCCTCCCTGTCTGAGTGGGTGGCTGCTAGAGGAGGCAGGGTAGGGAAGTCTGTGCTCCTGCCCGGTCTGGACGGCCGCTGAAGAAGAAAGACTCAGGCGGTGCATGATGAATTGTAAGAAGGCCAGCTGGGCGAGAGATGAGGGGAGGGAACACCCAGCACCACTGACCAAATTCGTCAGAACAGGCTGAATGAATTGGTGCCCATCTCTGCCGAAGTGCATATGGACAGAGGAGTACCCCTGTGCTTCTGTCAGACGTCTCTGGCTCCTCTTTTTGCTTCTTGTAAACTATGCTGTCTGCTGTTTTTAAGAGAATCAAATGTCCTCCTAAGTGTATCATTCTGTTATTCAGAATGTAGTTATCTGTTGTGTATTTCTTCTCCCACCGCTCGCATCTGTGTTAACGTCCAGTAGTGAAGGGCTGCAAGTGAAGAAGTCAGTGTAGGCCCTTCTGTCACACATTGGGTTTGATGGCTAGGGTGTCCTATGGGGTGCTTACACCAGTTTCTTGACTTACAGCCGTTCTCGGAAACTTATCCAGTAGAATTAGGCTGGCGGGCGCCGCGAACAGCAGTCTGGCTGCTCTTTGCCTTCAGTTTGCTTTGCCGCCTCAGCCCTCGTATATGTGTCCCTTTCTAGACCTGCAGCTCCCAGGATCCTGCAGCCAGTAGCCACCTGGGGGATTTGAGGTGTTGTAGTCCAACTCATCTGGAGGAAAGGCAGTTGAGGAGGGTTGTCCAGAGACCCTGGGTTGCATCTTAGCCTTCTGCCCTCATACAGTGTCCTCTTCTCCAACAGAAATCGGGTGGTGGTTATTTCTGGCTACGTGAGAGTGTTTCAACCCTGACTCTCAGTTATATAGAACACTGGTTCTTAACCTTGGGTTACTCAGGAGTTTTGGACTGCAACTCCCAGAATCCTTCACCACCAGCTGTCCTGACTGGGGTTTCTGGGAGTTGCAGTTCAAAAGCATCCGAGTAACAAAGGTTAAGAACCACTGATATACAAGATACCCAACCGTTAACATTGAACTGCGCTTTTCAAAAGAAGTTTTAACTTGGTCTGTCTCGAAAATGAGCACCGGGCTGTTTCGGTGCTTGCAGGGATGAAAAAATACGGGAGCCTGGCGTTGACTTAGTTTGACTTAGAAGTTTCTCTCTTCTGAAGGCAGGGGCGTGGACAGGCCACGGGGCAGAAAGCGGGCACTCTCTTGGTCCAACGGTGTATGAGGAGCCGGCAAGCCATTTATTTCCCTTAAGATTGGGGCCAAAGGCGTTGCAGTGGTTGCAGCCATCCGGACAAAGCGGTTGGGGGGGGGCTTGTTTTCCGCAAGTGTCAGCTGCCCCAGCTGTTTAACAGTAACCGATGGGGAGGAGAAGCCACCTTTTTAAGGGGCTGGCAGGGAACAGAAGCTTTTGTTGTGGGCGAAAGTTCAAGTTTCCAGCTTCCTCTTCATCCACCTGTCAAGAGGGTGAAGGCGGTCGGTTTGCAGGCCCTGAGCCCAAACTCAAACATGCCCTTTGGGCTCTTTCTTTCAAGCAGAGGCGACCCGGAGTCGCTCACCCAGAACTCATGGGATCGGAGGCCTGAATAGAAGCCCCATATGTCTGGGGGGGGGGTCCGCGGTGGGGGAGGGAGCAAAGGGCCTGAGCTGCAGCCGGAGATGCCCAAAGACAAGCGAGCCTCTGGGTCATCTGCCTTCACTCCGGAAAGGAAGGAAGGAGGGGAGGGTCTGTTCTTTTTTTTTTTTATCACAAGGGACAAGCATGCCTCTGCACGAGACCGGAGATACCTGTTGCCTAGGACCCTAAGATCTCTGGCGCCCGCGGGGATGCTCCCAGGTCAGGATGCCTCTTAAAAGGTGTCTTAGGCATTTTGGGGGGGGGGCGGTTGTCAAAGACCTGTTTCTCCTCCTCCCCCTGCCCCAGTAATTTCTAAATAAGAACCTACTCGGGGTTAAGTGTTTTTTTTCTGTTTGTAGTAACAAGAACATAACTATTGTGCACCTGAGACACAGCATAATGGGGAATCACTTCATCAGCTTGTAGCGCAGGTAAACTTTTAAGGAAACCTATTTGAAAAGCAAGAATGATAGTTTTAGAGTAATGAGAAAACATTTTTAAAAAGCAACAGCTAGAGAAGAAACTAAACGCAGCTGTGTCGGGGTGGGTCTTGGAGCTGTTCCTGAGCTCTCCTGCTTACATCTCCAAAAGGGGTTCTCTGGGGGATGGCTGAGCAGCCGGGTGAATAAAACAAAACCAGTGAT